GAAAGAGGGAACATAGACAGGCACACACTGCTTTTTTTCCTCAGACCCCTTTATGTCTGGGCCACTTGTTGGAAGGTGTTGCCCACTTTGAGGGCAGATCTTCCCCACTCAGCTAATCCTCTCTGGTAATGCACTGGAAGACACACCAAGGGATGTATCTCCTAGGTGATTCTAAATCCTGTCAAGTTGACGAGATTAACAACCACAGAAGAGTTAAGGAACTCTCTCCAAACCCTGCCTTGATCAAATGTACACTTTCAGCAGTGTGCGATCACTTATGTGCATATGTGTTTGTGTGTATGCTTACATTCATGTGTGTGTCTGCACATTCATTGAGTGTCAGCGGGGTAGGATTAGGAATTTCTGGCCACAGCACATTCATCTAAGACTGAAAGAGGTTAATGAACTACAGGTTCTATCCAATCAAAGCCCAGAGGGTCCCATGGGGATGGCCATAATTATTTCCAGGAAAGAAGTGAAATTGGGCATGGTGATACACAGCTGTGGTCCCAGAGTGCAGCGGCTAAGGCAGAAGGCTCTGGAGTTTAAGGTCAGTCTGGATTATAGGGAGAGACCCTGTCAAACAAGCAAAAACAACCAGGTGTGGTAGCAAACACCTTTAATCCCAGTACTCAGAGGCAGAGGTTGGTGGATCTCTGAGAAATGGAGGCCAGCCTGGTCTACATATTGAGTTCCAGGCCAACTGGGGCTACAGGGAGACCCTGTCTCAAAAGCAAAACAAAACAAAAAATGAAGAAAAACCCTAAACAAATAAAAATAATATTGTGAAGGGAAAGGGTCCATGCTAAGCTTCTCTGTGTTGTTCCAACTTTAATATATATGCAAGCACTAAATTTTTTTTTTTAAGGAGGGAGGAAGAGGAAAAAGGTGGTGTGGTGGGAAGTGGACTTGCTCAGAAGGGAATTGGGAGACAAGTACCAGATACATTTGGGGCTGACTTTGATCTCTGACCTCTAGGAACCATTTTACTACAGTGGTGATATTGTTTCTCTGCACCCGTGTTTTGTGCATGTGTATTTTTCTGCTGGTGCTGGAGTTGAATCCAGGATCTTGTGCATAATAGGCAAGCACTCCAACACTGAGCTGCACCACCAGGAACAGTGTTCTTACTCCAAATATTGAGAAAAGTAAGTCAGCTCAATAATCAAATATCATTAGGTTTGGGTGTTTTGCTTTGTTTTCCTAATGCAGCAAATGGTTAGGAGTGGTCCAGTCCTTAGGGTTATCTTGATCTGTAGGCACTTGAGACTCTATAGAGAGTTGTTTTGTTTTACAACTCTGTCATCTGCGCATAAGCAGTACCTCTCCAAAGATTTCAACTGTCATAAATCCTTTCCCTAGGCATTGTCATGAAACTATATCTCTATTTTCTATCCTTATAGGGGTTTGTCTTTCCTATAGTTAGCTATTGGTTAGTTTTTGTCACCTAGACACAAATTAAAGTCACCTGAGAAGAGAGGACCTCAATTAAGGAATTTCTTCCATCATCTTGGCCTCTGGCCATGTCTGTGAGGCATTTTCTTTTGTTAATTGATGTGGGGGGACCCAGTCTACTGTGGGCAGTGCCATCCCTGGGTAAGTGGATCTCGGCTGTATATGAAAGAGCTGAAAGCTGGGCATTGTGGCACATGCCTTTAATCCCTGTACTCGGGAGGCAGAGGCAGGCAGATCTCTGTGAATTCAAGGCTAGCCTGGTCTACACAGTGAGTTCAGGTCAGCTGGGCTATAGGGAGACCCTGTCTTAAAAAGACCAAAAAAGGAAGGAAGGAAGGAAGGAAGGAAGGAAGGAAGGGACGGAGGGACGGAGGGAGGAAGGAAGCTGAGGGGCTAGAGAGATGGCTCAGGGGTTAGGAGCACCAGCTGCTTTTGCAGAGGAGCTGGTTCAATTCCCAACACTTACAAGGTGGCTGACAACCATCTGTAACTCCAGTTCCAGGAATCCAACACTCTTCTGACCTCTGAGGGCACTGCACAATATGGGTGCCCTTACACACATAATACACTCATACACATAAAATAAAATATTTTTTTAAAGGAAAGAGCTGAGCAAGCCAAGGAGAAGCAAGCCAGTAAGCAGCCCTCCTCTGTGGTTTCTGCTTCAATTTGTGCTTTGAGTTCCTGTCCTTACTTCCCTCAGTGATGGATAGTGACCTGGCAGTGGTAAGCTGAAATAAACTCTTTCTTTCCTAAGCTGGCTTTGGTCAGTGTTTAATCACATCAAAGAAAGTTACTAGTAACTAGTAACTTTCTTCACCTCCTTTTCCCTTATTCAGATTGGACTATAAACTCCAACTTCTAAACACTTTTGTCTTTTCTTCTGTGAATTGTATTTCTATAAATAAAAATCTGCCTTCTGTCTTTTCACTTGCTAATATATCTTTTGTCAGTTTAATTCACAAACCCCAAAGAACTGAACTCAAAAGATCTGAAGAGTTTTTTCCTCTCAACCACAGCAAAGATTATGTTCATAGACGAATAGCATGAAGGAACAAGGAATCGAAGATCAAAGAAACGAAAGTGTTCACTTATGATGGGAAATTTTTTTCCTTTAGGAATTAAATATATTTGCTTTAAGGAAAGTTTCTAAAACAAAATCAAGCAGGTCATCAGTGTTCTGAACAAAGGACCTAGACACTCTGCAGCTGAGGAAGCAGTCCTGGGCTCCAGAGCTCAGATGGGGGTTTTCACAACCTTCTCCAGCTGGGAGGCATGAGTTGAAGGCTGGCGATGAACATCGCCAAGCAGGGCAGACATACTTGTTTTGCTTTTTCTCCTCTGAGGTCTCCTGTAGTTCCTGAGCTAAGGCAAAGCCTGGCTGGAGCGGCATGGAGACACATCACAGGGGTCCTTTCCAGGTGGCCCACACCGTGTTTGGACATGTCTGCAGCCTGGGCCTCCCATTGCTGTCCCTGCTCTATCTTCTCCGCAGCACACATATGCTTCTCATACAACACTCCTGCACATCTGCCTTCCTGTTCCGTCTTCTGAAAGGCCCTCCTGAGTGCTAGGTGTCCATACTGCCCATGTTCCTCATCTCATAGTCCACTCATGGGCCAGCCACAGGTGCAGCCCACCCTCACTTCCAGTCTTCAGGTTAGCTTTCCACTTGTGCTTCCCTCCTTTCCTCTCTCAAACCACCAGGCTCTCTCCAACTCCCCGTCTTTCTTCTTTATTCACTACCAACATGCACACCCATCTATAAACAGATGTGTGGTCATCCTGTCATAAGTAACACATTTTGAATGGCTCATCTGGGCTTATTTATAGACATTTTTATCTGGCTCATTGTTGGGGAACCCTGCTGTTAAGGTCGGCTCCTTTTTCAGCAGGGTCTTCCTGCCTGACTTACCTGGAAAGTGCTGCCAAGCACGGATGCTTGGCCTCATTTGAAACATGACCTTTAGCATAGTTACCTGCAATAAAACTGCCCCCAGGTTTTTTCCATATGATAATTAGGCATTGCCCCATAGCCAGATGATAGGATCTGGCTACCACATGTAAATAAAGCATACTATGAGCACCTATCAGCTGAAGCATTGGCTGCTGCCTCCACACTATATTTTCCCAAACCCCCACTGAATAAACGGAGCTGTTTCATTGAGTCTGGAGCAGTTTGTATCACTGAACCTGCCTCCCCGGAAGGGCTTCCTTCCGTCAGTGCTCACTGGCCATCCCTGACCCGGTTTGCCGCTTCTGCTCCCTTTGTCCTTGTGGACCAGTGGCCAACGACCCACGAGGGAAGGGAAAGACCCCACATCTCATAAAGTTAGTGTGGACAGATCTTCATCACCCTTCACCCCATCTCCTTTCACTGTTGTTCTGTTCTGGCCAACAGCTGGGAAAGGCAGGCCAGCTGTCCACTCCCCTCCTGGCCACCCATCAACCCAACTCCCAACCTTACCTTTCCAACACACACACACACACACACACGCGCGCGCGCGCGCACACACGCACATGCACTCATCCACTCAAATGGGACTGCATTTCCACTTAATGCTCTATATATTTATGCATTTTTGTCTCCCAACCCTTCTCAAGAGACAGGGTGTGGGCTCAGGGGACTAGCAGATGGCGAGCACCCCAGTGACAGGTGTGAGGATCTGAGTCCTTAAACCTGATACCACAGGGCATGGTGGAGCTTAAGACACCACCCAGACTCTCCATGCATCAGCTTCCTATCTTTAATAGAAGAGGGCTGCTTTGCTTGGGAAAGCAGGAGGCGACCCTGGACTTTCAGTAAAACCCCAGTTTCAAGACTGTCACCTTCACATGATGGTCCTGAGATCTTTATGTCACTTTTCTAGATTTCATTACTTCTACATGTAAAATCAAGAGATTAGCTCCCACTGTGGCCCCCAGGAGTTCCAGGATTCCTTTAGGGGACCAGTGAGGTTACACTCTATATAACAATATTTGGAAATTTTTTCCACTTTTCGCTCTTATTTTCCAGTACTGGTGGAAATTTCCAGAAACTACATCTCTGGGAATTGCAGAGGCAGGCACAAGTTCCAGGGCTACATTGTGAGTTCTAGGCCAGTTTGGCTTACATAGGGAGACTGTTTCAAAGCAAGCATATAAACAAAAAAATCCATCTATCGTCTACATAAACAAAAGCCTTTTAAGGTCCTTTAAGGATCGTTAAGGTCTTGGATTAACTCATTACAAGCAGTCTGTGGTCTGGCATTACTTAAGAAACGAAGGATAAGGTGGAAGATTTCTGAGCCTGCTCGATTTCTAGAAGGAAAAGACGAACGGAGACATGATCGAGGCAATTTCTGAGAGCGACGAGTTTAGTAAAGAGAGAGGCAGGACAGTGTCCTGGCACCACCTGCGCCCTACTCTGAATGTATCTGCAGCGTGGCCGGAGGCTCTGGGCTGACAGTTTGCAGACCCAACAGCCGCAGGCCCCGCCCCGCCCCTCGTGACGTCACCATGACGCGCCAGCCAATCCGGGACTCCTGGTTCGGGCTGCAGGGACTGCCTGTGGGTGGCGCTGTGGCCCGTGCAGCGGCCCTGTGGAGCCGCCATACTGCCCGCCTCCGCGCCCAACGTCCCGCCGTCACCCCGCGCCGCCGCCGCTATGGCCGACGTGGAGGACGGCGAGGAGTCCTGCACCCTGTCCTCGCACTCCGGGGGCACAGGCTCCAAGTCAGGCGGCGACAAAATGTTCTCGCTCAAGAAGTGGAACGCAGTGGCCATGTGGAGCTGGGACGTGGAGTGCGATACGTGCGCCATCTGCAGGGTCCAGGTGATGGGTAAGCGCTGCACTCGAGGCCCCGGCTGCGGTGCGGCCTGCGGAGCCCACGCCTGGCGAGTAGGGGTTCAGGCCTTCAGAGCCCGCGGCGTAGGTCGATCCCTGACACCCGCCAGCTCAGCTTGCGGGCGTTTTCAGCCGGTGGTGGGCGTGACCGAGAAATGCAACTGGACGGTCTCCTGGGAGACCCAAGAGCCCACTGGGCTTGTGTGGGCTGCCCAGCGGGCAGCAAACCGCCCTGCGCTGCCTCCAACGGTTCTGAGGGTGGAGGTTTTGTGGGTGGTTTTTGTTTGTGGAGAGGCCCTCACGTCCCCTATGCTGGCCTGGAACTTGCCTTTGTAGCGGGAGGATGGCCTTGAACTCCGGATTCTCCTGCCTGCACCTCCCAAGTGCTGGGAATTAACCCCAAGTGCTGGTGTGCTGGGCCACCATGCCGGCCTCGTTTTATGGTTCTGATCACCCACCCAAGTGATGCTCAGCCATTATAGCAAAAAAACACCGTCAGTCTCAGTTCGCCTCCAGAGTGCAGCCATTGCGTTTCCTGCTGCTGCTTGTGGTGGTGGTGGTGGTGATGGTGATATTTGACTGACTTTCATTTAGATTGACTTAAGACGAGTCAGATAGAATGCCCTTGGCTTGAAATGAGGTCCAGGAGTGTTTAAGGTTCATGGCAACCAAAGAATACAAGCCCTAGATTCATCTTTTGCTAGAGAAGAGACTGTCCTCTTTCCGTGCCCTTGAAAAGACAGTCTATTCAAGGGTGTTGCCCCCACCCCCGTTTTTTCTTGAGTCAGGATCCCATGTAGCCCAGACAGGCCTTGATCTCCTGATCCCCCTGCTTCACTTCCCAGGGGCTGGGATTTACAAGAATAAACCACCACTCCCAGTTTATGGTATGCTGGGAATTAAACCCAGGGCTTCCTTCCCCAGCCTGACACTATTTAAAAACAAGTTATGAGCCTGGAGTGGTGGTACATGCTTATAATCCCATCACTCATATGGCTGAAGTGGTGAGATTGTATTGAATTTGAGGCCAGCTTCAAATAAGACAAAATCCAGGCAGGGTGGTACATGTCTGTAATCTCAGCACTTGGAAGGTGGAGGCAAGAGAATCAAAAGTTCACATTCATCCTCATATATATAAATGAATTCCAAGCCAGCCTGTGCTAAATGAGATCTTGTCTCAAGTTAAAATAAAGGAATGGGCTAGAGAGATGACTCAGTGGTTAAAAGCACTTGATGCTTGTGCAGAGGTTCCTTTCCCAGCACCCACATGGTGGCTACCAACCATCTGGAACTCCAGTTGACGAGTGTATATATACATGCAGGCAAATACTCATACACATAAAAAAGAACATTTTTTAAGTATGGGTATTTAAAATTACTATGAGAATGCCTTAAATGTGTATTCTTGAAGAAGCTAGATTTCTATAGTTTGCAAACTTTGTGGCTTTTTGGAAATTGAGACTTTGAACCTATCAGAATCAGGATGTCTCAATCATATTCTCCTTTGTCTTTTATTTGACTTGTAAAGTAGAAGATTTACAATAATGAGATTCTGAGACTTTATTTTTTATATTTTGTAAAATTAGAGACTTGAGATACTTGTTTTTAAGTATCTGATTTATTTGCCTACATTACAGCTATTCCACTCCTTCCTGTGTTTAAGAACTGGAACCATATTTACAGTTTGGAGTTGGGTATGGTGGCACATGCCTAGAATACCAGCACTCAGGAGCCTGAGGCAGGATGATTTAATTTTTTAAAAGCTTAATTATTTTGTTCTTTTGCAGAGTACAACTTTGCCTAAAAATTACATTCCTAAATTTCCTTTAAAGAAAAACAAAACTTTTATTTTAGTTCCTTCTTGGTTTAAAATGTTTGTCCCCAGGGGTTGGAGAGATGGCTCAGTGGCACTGGCTGCTTTTACAGAGGACCAAAGTTTGTTTTCCAGCACCCACATGCCAGCTAACAACCATCCATGGCTCCAGTTCCAGGGGATCCAACACCCTCTTCTGGTTGCTGGCATTGCACAACATGAGTATGCTTACATACAAGCAGGCAAACACTCATACATAAATAATTTTTAAAATTATATTTATATTTTTTAATTATATTTTTAAGCCAGGTGTGGTGGCATATGCCTTTAATCCCAGCACTTGGGAGGCAGAGGCAGGGGGATCTCTGTGAGTTGGAGGCTAGCCTGGTCTACATATAGAGAGCTCCAGGCCAGCTGGGGATACAGGGAGACCCTGACTCAAAAAGACAAAGTTTTTTTAATGTATGGCCCCAACAAGGGGCATTTTAAAAGAATTTCTCTTTTGAAAGGCTTTTTTGTCCCCAAGGGGAAAAAAGTTCTGAACAGTGAGCAGAAATGTAGACCCTAAAGCAGGGATTGAAATTTTATAGCAAGCTCATTGAGAAATTTAGAGTAGGTCAGAGTGGACTATAAATGACTCCCATGTATCATCAGCTTTCTAATTACAGTGAATATTCTGCTTCTCAGTATTGGTCAGAAATGATGACAACAGCTGCACTTTGGTTCAAGAAAGTACTCTGGACTTCACTTTTGTAGGTTATAAAGATCTTAGTGGTCACTTAGTGGTCAGGTGACAGTGAAAGGAAAGACTTCCTAGTCTTTACCCCACCCCTCATTCTAAAAGGTATGAGTGTTGTACACCATAGAAATGTGCTATTTGGGGCTGTAGAGTTGGCTGAAAGTTAAGAGCACTTGCTGCACTCAGAGACAGAGGCAGGAGATTCTCAGCAAGTTAATTCAAGTCTACATAGAGAATTCCAGCCCAACCAAGCTACATAGTGAGACAAAAATTTTTTCCTTTTATTTGAAATTTTAGGAATAAAATGGATTTTTTAAAATTTTTTATTTTATGTGTATGGGTGTATGTGTGTAAGTGCACCTGTGCTATGCAGTGCCTGCAGAAGTCAGAAGAGTGTTGGATCCCCTGGAACTGGAGTTACAGATAGTTGTTAGCTGCCGTGTGGGTGTTTGGAATCAAACCCAGGTCCTCTGCAAAAGAGATGGATTTTTTTCAAATTTATATGTGTATGTACATGTGTGTATGTGTATGCACATGGTGTGTGATGTCAGGACAGTTTTGGGAAGTTGTCTCTCCACCGTGTGGGTTCCAGGGATTAAACAGAGGCAAGAGTCTTAACCTGCTGAGCCAGTGGCTGGCCTGAAATTGATATTTTGATCATCTAAAAGTAACTTAGTAGCCTTCTTACTCCAAGACTGACCTGTCACCCCATTCCACTGTGGGCAATGTTCTCTCCCTTGGGTTCCACCCACTCTCACACCCCTCCTAAAGGGAGCAGGTGGCACAGGAGCGGTCTGCTAGTACAGCCAGCTTGTCAAAGCCAAGTGCCTTGCCTGTGCTGACTTAGACTTTTCACATAGACTTTGGGAGCCTTAGATTCCTAATTTGAAAAAGACACAGAGTTACAGTTCTAATATTAGAATTCACTGACTGCCAGGAGCTGGGCCAAGCACAGGTCGGGTGTCTTCACTGGCACCTCGTGATGTACAACATGCTTGGGTGTTTGCTTGTCTTACTTCCCCATCCTCTAGTGAACTGTGTGAGACAGCCTGAGCCATTTTGGCATTCCAGGGTATAAATCCCCACACAGAATACATGCTTAGTGATTATGGAGTTCAAGTGTGAATCAATCGGTAGAGCTGTTTTTATCCACTCTGAAGAGCCAGGGTGGTGGTGTTTTGGTTTTGGTTTTTAAGGCATGTGGTGGAAGCTGCAGCAAATGCCTGTGCTCGCCAGCTCAGAGAAGCAGGAAGCAGGCCTCAGCTCCACGGTGCTACTTTTGCAAAACTGTTTTTCTGGGT